AATAAATTGTAAATGAACAATGATATTTCATATTAATTCTGAGAAATACAGAGTTTGTGTTGTGGACCAAATGTGCAGTTATGCTGTGGCGAGACAGCCTTATCAGAGCTGTGTATCCTCTAACATTTCAACTTTTTCTGCAGATCCCCCAGGACCAGTGGGAGGAGGGATACTTTGTTGTGTTGGGGAGATTTGGTTCGGTTCATTTTTTTTTTTTATTCTTTGTTTGTTTAGCTTTGCTGTGTTTCACAGTGGCAAAGTCTGTCCTATCCTTGGCACTGTGTTCTGGAGGCAGAGCCACAGGGACGCTTGGAGCAATTTGTTTTAGAAAAGAAGCAATGAAGTCAACTCCCACGTTATTGGGAGATAGAGACCAGCTTGTCTTCAAGTTCTCTTACATATTATCTGGAAAAACTGAAACACCTAGAACACTTGCATTTAGAACTTGTTTTGGCATTTCCCTAAAGACTTCTGTGAGATTCCCCCCAACTATCAAACAAGTATCTTTCTATCTGTAAAACTGTCTGCAGAAACAAATTCCTCAGGATGGCAACCCAGATACATTTTTAGTATTAACTTCTTATTATCATTTTTAGTAGCATATTAAGGATGCTTGCGGAAATTTGATTTAGAATTTGTTGCAAGAATTCGAAAGTTGGACCATATTTTTACATTTTATTACTGGTTTAGTTACGGACTGCTGTGAAATCTGAGGAAGATATTTGTTATTATTAAGGATTAATTACTTACTGTGGACATACCTGTGGAGCTGTGTTTCTGGTGTTAGTGCTAACTGGTTAACATCTAATATGATGAACGAAGAAGGTGAATATCATACCTAGCCAACATCAAACTGCTTTCTAAGCATGTTAGCGTGTGTATAATGGCTTTTAACTCTTCTCATTAAAGTCTTGCGTCAGCTGGCATGGATGAATTATCTTAACATTGACCAAACTCCATGAAACACATTTGTTACACTTCAATTTAAAAGTGAAATTGTTTTTGAGTTTTACAGCCATAAAATGTGTTCAAACGTGCACAGAAATTCAACCCGTTGAATAATTTGACAATTTCAATTGAAGGCCTCAGTCACACAAGCCTAGATACTCATCAACTACTCCCTGGAAAAATGTGTATTTCCCGGTCAGTTGGTGAATGTTTGCTTGTCACATAAAAGGTACTGCGCACAAAAACATCCTTGTGATTGCTTTGGTCGCAAGCAGATTGCTGGGGTGCCTATTGTTGCATTAAAAATGGCAACTTGTCTACATAGATTTGCTAACTAACCAGTGAGCTGTAATGAAACTTGAGCAAACTGCAACACAATTTGATAATTTAAACCATTAATCTTCAAAGTAAAGGTTGTGCCTTACGGTGAAACCAAAATGTTTTAGAAGGTGAGCAGTGTGTGTTTCTGATTTGTGCTGGACTGTTAGCGGTTCGTAGTTGGCAAGAGTTTGGAGACAAGCCTGCGTCTTCCATATAAACTAAGGCTGACCATGACAAACTGCTAGCAACCAAAACAATTGCAAGGTTTTCAGTACAACTAGCAACTTCAACTAGCTCGTTTTGGCCAATGTCACCTAGCAACAGCAAAGAATTTTAGATTTGGGGGATACACATTTTTTTCTTAGCAACCAGTGGTTACCGTGGAGTTACTGACTGGTCTTTACTCCATGTGTGATTGGGGCTTACGCTTTAACCCGTTTAAATTTATGCTGCAAGCTTCTATGCAACCTGAAATGCACCTCCTGAGAAATGTAACTACACGTCTCGTCGATGCATACCACAACAAATTAAATGGTGTGGAAAGTTGCACTGTAGGAATACAAAGAGCTTGCAGTTAGTATGTAAGTTGGTTTGCCACAGTCTAAGTGGGAAGTCTAAATCAAGCTTTAGTCATCAGTTTTAGCAACCTCCAGCAAACACTTGAAGTCCTTGAAGCTGCTCAAGGACTACTCATTGGCGACCAGTGGTTGCCAAGCAATTCCTGACCAGTTTATAGGCCTGTTTCAAAGTTTTAAAGGTATATAGCCCAACAGTTAAGATCAGTGTCAGCAGCTCAAAAATATACATTTAAATAAAACATGAAATATTTTTCTCTGTCCTATTTAGCTTCATAATGTGAGTAAGGAACTGTTTCATTTTAACCTCAGTTTAAAATTAGAAGATTCATCGTAATACCAAGAAGTAGTATACTTTACACGGCAAGACAACAACATAAAACAGATATTAATTCAGTTTCCTGACAGCTACAGCTGTGGTGGCAAGAGCAAGGCCCCTGTTTGATGAAACATAGTCAATTAATGAGCTCCATCGACTCAAAATAGACGAACAACAGAGAATAGCAGCGTCAAATCAGCCACAGTCTCTGAACTTGTTGACTTCGCACATGGTAACTCGGTGGCACAGTGATTCACAACATTGCATAAGACAGATCTAAACAGTCTGTCCAGCGTCTTGCGATGGAAGAGTTCCAAAAGAGGAAGCAGGAAGAAGGCAGTGAGTAGCATTAAGATGCGCATAGATGCAAATACACATACAGCAGTTCAGACATCATTATCCGACATCAGGCATTAAAGATAGAATAGATGCAAGAGGTATGTTAAGTAAGAAGGCATGAAAGAGAAGAAGAGCAAGTGTGTGTGTGTGTGTGTGTGTGTGTGTGTATGTGTGTTTCGATGGGGAAGGGGCGCTTCATCTCACTGCAAAACATTTCAGACAGTGAATTTTGTTGGCATGCCTTTCTGAGCAAAGGCATCTTGTGTTAATTTATCTTTCTGCACATCTCTAATCACGTCTCCTGTCTTCTTTGTAGAGTTGTATTTATAGATATAATAAATTGTATACCAATAACGCCTAGTAACTGGCTGCATGCACACACAAACAGACACACAGACAATATAGGTGGACATGGGTAATGATGGGTGCTGTTCTTAATTACGTCGATAAAGTAGTTGAAATAATTGGCCACTTTGATCTGGTACTTAATTTGACATTTATTGGAGTACAGTACTTTTACTTTGACCCTATATTTGACAAGTGAACCATCAAATGCATCTGCCTGGGCAAATACCAAATTTGTGTTACTTTTCCAAGTGGGTTAGCTAATTCTTCATTCGTTTATCAGTGACCTGCCAGCTCCTTGGAAGCAGTCGCAGTAGTTTTGCAAAGCATTTTTCACACTGTGTTTCTGACATTTTGGACAGAAGTAGCACTTCTGCCAAAATAATTTGGCCTGTTTCAGCAGAAAATATGTCAGGAGATGTTTTAAGCTTGTTTTCACTCGTTTGGAATATAATTTTTTGGTGTCAGCAAAACACACAAATGTGAAACAAAAGAAGAATAATTAAATTATTAAAAGGTTAAACTATTAAACTGAAGAATGTCCGTGACTGGTAGGGGTGTGTTGTTTCAGGTATCACCAGTGAGAAGTTTAATTCCAGGAATTTGTTTGAGTAACGGATCCATGTGTCTGAACCCTTACCCACTGCTAAAACACTACAGCTCTGTTTAATTCTTAGAGACAACGTTTTGTTACATCAATTAATTTTTGAATATCTGTCTTCTTATATAAATATATTAATTAAAGTGCAGCATAATACTACTTAATCAACGTTTGAAGGTACTGAACACATGCAAACCTATATCCATAGACATATTATTCAAATAGCACATGTAAGAGTATAGCAAGCTAAATATTATATGCACACAGCCGTGTTCTCAGTGTGTGTGACCACGGCCACCGCAGGTACCTGCATGTGGATGAATCCTGATAGATCCCCATTACCCTGGGTGTGACCCCTCGCCGCTCAGTTCATTAAGCTAGCCACCCAAGTGTTCGCAACTCAAGTCCAGATTTAATCACAACTTCCATCCTCTTGCCAATCACAATTAGATCCCGATAAGCCTCTCCAAGATGGCATCCGAGGGCCTCCACACACAGACAAAGGTTAATTTGCGAGCAGCAAGGGCCCAGCTACAAGGCCAAAGGTCGCCTGATTGAATACATGGAAGGATATGTCTGTGTGTAAGACAGTGGGGCTTGGCAGCAATTACAAAGTTCATCAGTATTCATGCGTTTTATTCATGGGTAATGGGAACATTACCTTCAAAGAGGTGCACTGATTGGATGTGGCCCTTAATGGGAAATAGCTCATGGGTAGTCTTTAGGTGGCTGAAATTTAAAAGTAATTTCTCCACCATTGTCTTTTAAAGTCAGCCCCATTACAGTGTCCCTCTGCTGGCTTGTGAGCGGTTCCAGTGGAGATGTCGAGGGCTAAGGATCTCAGGCCTGTCAAACCTTAATGAACGCAAATCGCTTTCACAGTGAAAGAGGCAAAAATGGTATTCCTGCTGATGTGGTTAAAATCAGTTAAAGGAAAGTAGATTTTTCATCTAGCCCTTCCACATCTCCAATCTGTTTATTCAAGTTAGACACCTCAACGCCTCTTAGAAAAAGAAAGTTGAATTCGTGAGCAATTAAAAGGACATCAAGAGGTGCACACTTTCACCAAGGCCAGTGCTCTGTCTTTTAAATGTAAATAGAAGAACCTGGATGTGCTCCATCATTGAACCTTGCTCTTACTCCGTTCTAGCTTTTATTAAACCCAGCACTGAAATCACACCTGCCTGTACTTCAGCAGGGGAATAAAGCATCTACTTTCCAGGATACAACCGGTACAGCACAATGAGTCTTACCTTTCTGAGGTTAAATGATCTTAGCATGCATATTAATGTGTCTAGAGTCTTTGCTAAAGATAAGGACATTTCAGAATGCACACATGCACTAGTTGTTCTCATAAGACCTGACACTACAAATTAGCTATTGTTAACCTGCTGCCCTGTCAGCTGAGCTACCAAGGATTTAAAAAAAAGTTCTACACTGCTGAACATACAACATAACACAAATTTAACAGAAGAGACAGAGTCATTTATTTTGCCCTGTTTATGATTTCATCTTTCTGACCTCGTGTCCTGTGGTGCAATGTCATTTCCAGGCCAGCTGGCAGCGGGGACATGTGAGATTGTGACGCTGGACAGGGACAGCAGCCAACCACGGCGGACCATCGCCAGGCAGACGGCCCGCTGTGCCTGTAAGAAGGGCCAGATCGCTGGAACTACAAGAGCTAGACCCGCCTGTGTGGACGGTAAGAGAGAGGGGCAGGGGCAGGGGTAGATTCTGACTTAGCTTTGCTGTCATTAAGAGTGAAAACTACTCAGACATGAACACGATTTTCCTCCGGGTTGTTTGGCTTTTACATTGAATTGTGTTTTCCTTGAAGCATGTAAAGAAAATTGAATGTAAAATTAAGCCATATCCAAGCGTAGAAAACTGCATCAACAGTCTCGGGGCAGCTAGATTTTCGCTGTTTTTTAGTTAGGGCTTAAGGTGGATAAACCTACAGTGTGGAGCAAAGTGGATCACAGGGCTTTCTTTATGTTAGTAAAACCTGCACTAAATCTTTTTTTCTGTTTCATCTTAAAAAAAAAAAAAGAAGAAGAAGAAGAAGAAGCTCCAGGGGTGTTTCTAAATCCCTCAGCAACAGATGGACTTATTTTTCATGGAAGAGTGGCACTTCCTGTGTAATAATGTCAGTTTTAGTCCTACCAGAGTTCTTATTGTTATTGATATTATTAATAGAGGAGAAAAGCAACATTTGTCATTTGGAAGCAAAAATGAAAGCTGCTTTAAGCTCTCTAAATGTGAGTGCTTGCTTAATTTCTCAGGCTGCTTTATCCTAATAATAAGATCCAAAATAATAAGACTGTCATCTTTAGATCAAGCAATTTGAAGTGGTTATCTGCTGATATGAGCTGCAATTTCAAAAAAAGAGAACATTTTATACAGTTGCACAAGATAAAGCCAAACTCTGGAAAATGCCCCGAGTGGAGGCTATTTAGTGGTCATGTAAATTTCTGTCACTCTACGGTGATGCAAAAATCTAAATACACTGAAATGTTCTGGGAGAGTGTAATACGTGCAGACATCTTGCAGATGAAGGAATTCTTAATGTTGACTGTCAGAGACTTAGAGACAGTTATTCTAAACAAATACAAGTAGCTACATGATATAAGCAGAACCGATATTAGCTATTTGACAAGCAATTTGCAATAGCTGATTAATAAAAATATAAAAAGATGTTAGAAACATTGGTTAACAATGTTACAAGTGTTGATTTTGCATATTTTGTCTGCCAGAAGATCGTCTGCAACTTTCATGTTGACATCAAATATGAACTGCATTGTTAAATCATCTTAGTAAGGACCCATAAATAACTATGCATACAAATGTTGGAGAAATGTTTTAATATTTTGTGTTTCTGAAGAAAAGAAGTTTGGCTGATACATCAGATTTTTACATCACCAGATATTGGTCCTTACAATCCTATATAGTCGGGCAGTAGTTTCCTTATCCAGTTGAGTAAAAAGCCAACTGTGTTTCACTGAGCTCAGTAGCATAGAAATAGCAAAGTCAGCTGCAGCAATTACACGAAGAAAAATGCTAACATTCATATTTCATTACTGTAAGCGTTGTTATTACAAATCTTGACATAACTGAACTTTTTATTACTGAGATACAACACATAATCTCTGCATTTCCTGAATAAAAGATTAAGAATCCTCACCTTGCAAAAAGCTCTCCAAAATATCAGCATAACTAAACTAAAACATCCCCTAAATGCTAAGTGCTCACAATGTGTTTTCAGATGGTAAATGCATAGTTTTCAATGGACAGCCAAAAGGGAGAGAAATGATCATTACAAAGAAAAGAAACTTAATGGTTGTTTACAGTAGAAAAGGGCTCATTAGTTGTTGCCCAGACATCTTCGCATACATTTATTTAACGAGGGGAAGCTTGAGCTTGGTCATCTCGAAGCTTTTTCTCGTTATCACCATTCTGGCTCCATTACATCTCAAAGAATTTTAAGAAATGAGGTATCTTCACTGCAGCCCCATGGCCTTTTACTCTCTCTCATGATGTGGCCTCTACACATTGAGGGAGGGGAGCTTGTGTGCTCAGGTGAAGGCAGAACAAATGGCTCTATTATCAAGAAAGACCTGCAGTGAACTGTAACTGTGGATGTCTTGTTTTGCCTGTTTTTCAACTGTGCCTTCACAGTTGTATGCCTGGTTAGAGGAGCTACATATCCTCAGTGCTCTGTTTGACTGTTTTTTACCTGCTGATCTCATGAAGAGACGGCTTTGAACCGTGTTTAAATGGACTGAACGTTAATACCAATTTGTTCAGCAGACAGGAGTCAACATGACATTCGAAATCTGGTCTTTCTCCAAAATCATTTTCTTCCTGTGGCTAAACTGCTTCACACTGAGCTGCGCGTGTTTCGTTTCAAGAAAGTTCCGATCTTATTGACATAACCGCTCACGCTGTGGAGGCACTTCACTTTTGCCATTAAATAAGCGGTATGCATGTTTCATAAATCCTCAGTATCTTGATAACATCAGGAAGTATTTGTCACAACGTGGACTCCATGGCGCATGGTGGCATTTTGTGTAGGCTAGATATGACTCTTATTGAAGAGAGCTTAAGCTTATCAGCTTGCCTCAAGAGACCCGTGGAGGTGGATGCCAGGTATAACCAACTACTGAAAAAAAAAAAAAGAAGACCGATAGTGTGCATATGCGCTACATACATTAACAGGGCACACTGTGTCATGGAACTTTTTCCTTTTCAAAGCACATTTCAATTTGAAGTGCTCAACACAAGGCATGAAGAAGCTGTTTTGACCATTGTTTTTAGGTGTGTAATTACTTATCCTATATGCATAATTTATTTAACCATTAAGCAATTAAGTACTCTGTTGAAAGCTCTAGGCTTTACTGCATTTTTTCTTTTGCAACTAAAATAAACTAGAATTCTTACCTATGTAAAGTGTGATGATTTTCCCCTCAGTCTTCCTGTTTCTTCTTCATACTATAGCTATAGATGTAAAAATTCTGCAATCAGTGTTATGTGCTGTAGACTCAGATCTATCCTCCTCCCCAAATTAGAGAGGATAGGCCTGCAGTAAATGTAACAACTTATAGTAAATCCACAAAAGCAAGGTATGTATCTGCATGTAGGTTTAGTGGTTCATTTTGCAGGTAAACAGCATATACCCGCATCTGTGCAGGAGGATTTTACTATGATCTTAAAATAATAAAATTAACACATAGCTGATGATTTTGCATGTAATATGTGGCAATTGCTGCACACAGGGGACTTTGCAGGCAGTGCCTCCTGCCAGCCATTATAAAGCTTTATACAACATAATAAAACAGCCTACATAATAATCCCTAAATCCCCTAAATAACCTGAGATTTGAAATCTTCTGCTAACTAAAATAAAAGCATCAAGCATTTTAAACGCATGATGGTGCGTTTTTGTATTTGGTTAAAGGTGTGTGTACATGCACGTGTGACTGAATTGAATGTTTGGTTTCGAGCATGCCCGTACGCAGATGCACATCTGTGTACATATTTTTCTGTCAGATAGTGTTTTATCGGTTTCCTTCCATAATGTCACGTTGTTTCCTGTCAAAAAACTGACACCCATACACAGACACACAAGCGCTCAAGCACACACAAACACACACTTCTTTATTGCTGTTCATATTACAAAATCTCACAGCTTGATATTATTGCCATGCAAATTTGAGGCGCTTGTCTCCACAAATGCAATCTTATTTGTTTTATATTCAGACTCACACTCGGCTCACTTTGGGAACATTGAAAAAGAGAGCGGGTGGAGGGTGACGGGTGGGGAGGGATGCTGACAGAACAGACCACAAATGCCACAAATGGGATTTCAATCAGTTTTAATCTACTTGAGTCCTTGAGGTCTGCGCTCTGTTGTAATATGCCTTCGCCTTGGCTGACACGATCGGTGTCCTTCATGCTTCAGACTCTGTTCACATCGGTCATTCCATGCATACAGGATAATCCATAGCTCCGTCAACAGCCTTAGACTGTTTCTGTTTCTCGGACAGGACTTGGAAGAGGAAAAAAAAAAGACAGGGAAAGCTGTAGTGGCATTGATCCTGAAGAGCCATCCTCTGTTGTTGTGCATTTCCCATCTTCCACTTGCTCTGTGTGTGTTTATTGCTTTGAGGAGGTGAAAGTAGGAGATAAGCCGTCAACATGATAAGCTTTCTGTTGTCGCGCTGTTTGATGCACGAGTCAGTAAGGGAACGTGCTTTGAGAAAATAAAACAAAACCCTGCAGAATTACATATGTGGCATAAAATGCTGTCTTTCTCTGACCCTTTCCATTTCACATTTTGTTCTTTCCCTCTTCTTCTCCTCTTTGCTTTTTTTTTTCAATTGTCTCTGTCACGCGCTGCAATAGTGTCTTTCTTCAATGGCTCTGGCTATTTGAGGCCTGAATCACACCCTAGTGTTGCATAAGTACACCCTTTAGTAGCTACAATTTCATGCTCTTGAGCCTTTTTACATCTGTGCTTGATGATTTTTAAGAGAGCTGATAATAATTCTTTTTATGAGGCTGAGAGACCAAGAGATACTATTAGAGAGAAACAATGTTACCTACCCAGACTTGCTGCAGGCGTGAGGGGGCTACAGAGTGAGCCAGAGACTTGGAGGAGCTTGTTACAGGTGGAGTGTGGTGGTGGTAACAGTGGTAGCTCAGCAGGGAGCCCCTGCCTCAGGTGAATGTGCTTGTGTTTGATTTTGTTTGGCTGAAATGATGACATTGATTCAATTCAAGCGTATACTGTTATGTCCAACAATAAATATGCAAACCTCTTTCGGAAACCTATTTAGCCTGGAATTGCAGAAACAGTGAGTGACATGATCGAGCCGTGTGCTAACATCATGGCTAGACCAAACGTCAGTCCTCTTTGATATAAGCTGACATTTTTTCCAATCTTTTCAGACTAGAATGAGCGTGTCCCACTAACCAGTACAAGAAAAACTTCAAAATTTCTGTCCTTATTTCTATATAACTACATCATCGTTGAGTTTCACAAGCCATTTTACATTCCACCCTGATTTTAAAAGTTGCTTGACATTAGTGTGAGTGAAGTCTTATGTCTCTTAGGAGTGAGTAGTTTCAATTTAATGGTCAAAAATGTATTAGAACACAACAAGAAACACTTTTTAAAATCTACTTTTTCAGGTTCCAGTGTATT